TCAACATTGTATACAAACTGAGCAAAAATGCAGTAAATGTTCTCTTTCGCATTCAAGAGAGCAACAATGTAGTCAACTCGTTTGTACCAACTCCAAACAAAATCACTTAGCCACCTCTCTTGAGTGCCCTGCTCGTAAGAGAGCGAACGCTATCCAGAAACGTATGACTCTTTAAAATTTATCACGAAATGAAACGAAGATTAGGTACCCCTCTCTCTTCCAAATTTTAGATGAAGTCGACAACAACGACTTAACCCATTTCCCCCAGCCAACATGGCAAAGAAAATCGGCCATTCCAGTGTTACAAAATAATACCAAAATAGCTACCCAACAAATATTTGCACAAAACCCTTTTAATAAGGTTGTTAAGAACTCTCTTAACAAGAAAAACGAAGAGAAAAATTCACGCGACACTATGATCAGCTGGAAAGCTGCTCTTCATGAACATGAGTACACTCTAAACGAAAAGATTTCTCACATTCATTCTAATCCACCTAGTTCCCCACCCTCTAGCCAACCTTTCTCAGACAATCAAGCTCTTGAAGGTGCGGAAAATAGTTTAAATCAATTAGCTTCTGAAATATCCTCATTTCTAGTCAACGAAACAACCAATTTATTACCTGAATCAAGAAACTTTTTAGAGAATTTAAGAAACAGAATAGCACTTACAAACTCAAAAATTGATTTGTTCAAAATTAATCAACTTGTTTAATTTTGAATATTTATTTATTTATCTACTTACTTATTTTTATCTGTTACTTTTCTTTTTATTTGTCTATCTGTTTTCATTTGAAAATAAAACATAAAATTATATTATTTAAATGAGAATAAAAATCCTACAATATAATACTCAGAGCTTAACTGCTAATAATAACAAACAATTACTAGAATTATTCTTAGTAAACAACAACATAGACATAGCAATTTTATCAGAGATATGGGTTTCCAATAACTCCATGTGTAGCTTAGAAATTATAATTTTGTATGTAAGCCGCGTAACGATGGTTATGGAGGCATTGGAATTTACTTAAAAAACATATACGCTTTAGACAAATCAACTGTGATATTAGATTAGAAGTCATTGGTATCCGTACAATTAACCTAAGAAATAATATTAATATTTTCAGTGTCTATGCTGCTCCCAGCACAGACATTAGTTCTTTTCAACAAGGTTGCGATGATCTATTTACTATTGCTGCTCAATCGAGCGGTCTAACTGTCATAGGTGGTGACTTTAATGCCCAATCCAGCATTTGGGGTAATAATACTCAAGATGCCAGAGGCGGCATTTTAGAAAATTCCCTCTTACACTCCGGTTTCTTTTGCCTTAACAACGACTCTCCAACTTACTCTCAAAACCCATCCTATAGTTCAACACTCGATCTCACTTTCATTAATATTAGCAATCTTTGTTCTAACTGGTCCTCAATATCAAATAGCAATATCTAAAATATCAAAGAGCAATCATTTCTCAATCTTAATTGAAATAGACCAAATTTCTGCTTCGACTAATATTATTAAATTTAACCATAATAAAATAATCAAAGCCTTTTCCAAAATTCAAATTACAACGTTAGATAGCGTTTCCAACTCATCCCAAACAATACACTCTAATAATTCAATTAAAATAAATACAAACAATAGATATGTTCTAAAAAAGTATTGGGACGAGGTCTGTGTAAAATTGTTTAGACTAAGAAACGCGGGCAGACAAAGATATTTTAAATCCAAACTACAATCTGATGCTATTGCCTATATTAACAGTAATAAAAAACTTAACAACTATTTTCATAAAATGAGAAAAGAAAACCTCAGTAAGCTGGCAGAAGACACTTCTCTAAAAGATATGTGGAACAAAATCAAAAATATTAAACTTTATAAACAAATTAAACCGCCCAACAGTGCAATATCTGACTCAGAACATAGAGACTTTCTCAATCAAATAGCCACAGCACCCAACACTGCGATGTGTCCTGACGTATCTTTTCCTCCTGATCTGCTTTATAGATATGCTAACTCTAATTTCTCAGCACGTGAACTTCTTGACTTCCTAAACTCTCGTAACCCAGACTCGGCTAAGGGTCTTGACAACATTTCATACAGAATGCTTCTAGCTCTACCCTTAAATCAAATAGAAAAACTGGTATCCCTGCTAAACACTACTTTAGACAATGGTGTTATTCCAGAACAGTGGCGGAAAATAAGGGTTATACCTGTTCCCAGAAAAAATCTTGACTCTTCAATTATTACCAACAACAGACCTATCTGCCTTCTAAGTGTGACTTTTAAGTGCTTAGAAGGTTTGATTAAATTGCGTATGGAAGAGCACATTAATAAAAATAAAATTCTGCCACCAAGATCCTATGCGTTCAGAAAAAACCATTCTACAGCCCAATGCATCAACGATGTACTAAATTACATAGCCAACCTAAAAGCTCGTGGTTTCCACGTTACCGCAGCTGTTTTAGACTTAAATAAAGCCTTTGATGCCGTCAATATCCCTATTCTGGGTAGTAAATTAGTTAATTTGGGTTTCGACCACAATCATATTTATTTCATTATAAACTTCCTTAGTAAAAGAGTTCCTACTATGGGTACTGCAGAGGTTACTGTAAACAAAGGAGTTAGTCAAGGTAGTTGTCTGAGTCCAATCCTCTTTAATTTATATACAGCTGAGCTTCACAGCTTAAGTAATGACCATGATAGTATTCTGTTCCAGTACGCTGACGACTTCTTTCTAGTCTGTTATGACAAAATCTTTTCGATGGCTGATGAGAAATTAGAACAAAAAGTAAATAGATTTATGGAACTATGCAATATTAATAATCTTACTTTTAATCCAGACAAATCAGCCACCATTCATTTTAATTTAAGGAAAAAACATTTGTCATTTTTTTAAAAATGTAAATAGCGTAAATTATTTAGGTAGAGTCATAAGTTTAAGCATGTAAATAAAACGATCTCTAAATCTAATCAAACGAATATGTTTATTCAAATGCTCAGTGGCTGCCGCTTTGGAGTACATCCAAGCAAGTCACTACTTTTTTATAAAGCATGTATTAGAACTAGATATGAATATGCCTGCTCCTCTTTTTCAAACATATCAAAATCAGTACAAAACAACATAAATAAGCATACTAATTTCCACCTTAGAAAGGCCTTAGGACTTATTAAATCGACTCCAATTAATATTATTTATAATCTTGCAGCTGAACTTCCTCCAGCTTATAGGGTTAAATTCGCTACAGCGAAGGAGTTGGCCAAAACGTTCGCTCATGGACTACCATCTGCGTCGCTTCTGTCAAACTCCTTTGTAGCCAAAAATAGTAGTTACAGTAGAATTTATGCTGAATTTAAAAATATCCTGGATAGTATTGCTCCTATTTGTCCTTATTCTCTGTCCACACGAAAGATTTCAGTTGACACAAATTTCTTTAAAGGTACTTATAAGAATAAAAAATGGCAAACGAGACTATAATTCTCTCTTTATTTAAAGAAAAAACAAGGAAGAACGCTATAGTCGAGTACCTCGACTATCAGATACCCGTTACTCAGCTATATGGAGATATGCAAGCAGCAAAGCGAGATTAAAATGCGCCACCTACCGGCGGTATACAGATTTAAGCGTTATGGGCGTTAGAGTGGGCGTGGCAAATTTTTTTTTGGATCAATCGATAGGTATCGACGAGACCAATACATTTCAGTTAAAATTTTTTATCTAGCATGAAAATTGTGGGCGTCACAGGTTTTCGCGGCTTGTGGGCGTTAAAGTGGGCGTGGCAAACTTTTTTTTGGGTCAATCGATAGGTACTGATGAGAACAATACATTTCAGTTAAAATTTTTATTCTAGCATCAAAACTGTAGGAGCCACAGTTTTGGGCGGTTTGTGGGCGGTAGAGTGGGCGTGGCACTGTGCCGAAACAAATTTGCGCTGCGTAAGAAGCTCAGGAATCTGCACGCCAAATCTCAATAGCCTAGCTCCCATAGTTTCCGAGATCTCAGCGTTCATCTGGACGGACAGACAGACGGACAGACGGACAGACGGACAGACGGACATGGCTAGATCGACTCGGCTAGTGATCCTGATCAAGAATATATATACTTTGTGGGGTCGGAAACGCTTCCTTCTGCCTGTTACATACTTTCCGACGAATCTAGTATACCCTTTTACTCTACGAGTAAAGGGTATAATAAGAGGTTTAACCTCAAAAAATATGGAAATCATCTTCACGGATGGTTCTGTGTCGGAAAATTTTACAGGTAGTGCTTTTGTTCACTTAAATTCCAATTCAATAAAAAGTTTCTACACCGACAAAAAACTTTCGTCGCTGACTGCTGAACTCACAGCCCTAGAAAAAGCCATTGACTTCAGTATTTCAAAGAAGTTCTCCAAAATAGCAATTTTAACTGACAGCCTTGGTGCCATCCAGACAATAAAGAACGCGAACTCCAAAGCTGCATCTCTCAATGCATCCTGAAAAGAGTCATAAGCAATCCAACCATGCTATTCATAGAGTTTCACCACATTCCAAGCCATTCCAATATTTGGGAAAACGATCTCGCAGATACAGCGGCTAAAAATTCTATGATTAACGGCACGACCCTCAAAGACGCTATCAATCATATGTTCGCGCAAATAAAACAAGACTGGGAGCTTGAATACAGTCTGTTTTCATTAGAGCGTAACAAGGGTTACTCTCTCCTCTCACCAAATACCACTTCCAAGCCTTGGTTTAAAAACAAAGAAGACCTATTCAACCGTATAGAAACGAAGACTCTGAACAGAATCTTAAGCTTTTGATAAATACACACTTTCCAAAATGAAAGTCTACGATAACGCCCTATGCGATTCGTGCAACGTTAATGAAGACATTTCGCATATTTTGTTAAATTGCTCAAAATATACACCAACAACGATATTTATCGATTACTTGAAAATGAACCAATTGAAAATTGGACATCGATTACCGGTTTCATTCGAGCTGCTAATATTAATATCTAATATAACACTCCACACTGCTCATTTAATACACTATAACACCATTCACGCTTATACCAACTCACAAAATTTAAAATTAAAATTTATCACACACATTGAAAACATTTTCATCGCTTATCGTTCATCGTCATCGCTCATCGTTCATCGTCATCATAACATCACCAGAAACTACTGCACGCTATTTACATAGCTGTCCATTTAATTTTGTTTTTCTTGAAACTTAGTTTCATACATTGGCGGTGGCGTTAACCCGTTCCAACGGGGCGGCCAAAAAATTCTTCCCTCTTCACTTCCCTGAACTGAACTTAATATATAAAAAAAAAAAACTAAAATATACGTTCAAATTGGTATAGATTTCGACAAATATTGGTGTTGGCGGCGCTTCGATATGGAGAAGACTTTGAAAAAGCAGAACAGCAATGGTAATTAGAGTAATTAGAATATGAATGTATATGATTTGTAATGTTTTTTTGTCCAATATAGTTGCCTGTCAAGAGGAAGAAGGAACGTTCCCAAAAAAGCGCAAGAAATATGGGCTATCTTCTCTATGGAACTATTTTGACTACCAAGTGCAAAATATGTGGTAAAACCTACCAAACAAGTGGCAATACGACAAACTTGTCTTGCCACTTAAAAGCCATTCATCCGACTTTAACAATAAGCGAATTGCCACAAAGACAGACGACCTCAATTCTGTCGTTCATTGACAAAAAATACGAAACGTCGTCGGACCGCAAACGAAAATTGGACAGTGCCTTATGCTACTACATTACCTCAGACTTGCGGCCTTTTTCAGTGGTGGAAAATAAAGGCTTCCGCAATTTTGTAAGCCTCCTTGATCCAAGATATGAATTGCCTTCACGGACCACCTTAAGAAATGCTTCGATGGCAAATGCATACAATGAAAAGGAGGCCAAATTTTGCGCCTTTTTAAAAAACGATAAGCACTGTGCAATCACTTCAGAGTGCTGGACCTCCAGGGCCAACGAGTGCTACGTTACTGTGACGTGACGTTTTATAACAGAGGATTTCGAATTGCGCAACGCTGTTTTGTCCACTGAAAAGCTCCTCGACGAAACGAGCCATTCTTTTGAAAATATTGCAAACTCTTTACTCTACACAGTACTCGAGGAATGGAGAGTTTTAGGGAAGGTCACTGCAATGTTCACAGATAACGCCAAAAATATGATAAAAGCATGTGAGATACTGCTAATAAGACATATTCCATGCTTTGCGCATTCAATCAATTTGACTGTCCAGGACTGTTTGGCTACAGAAAAAGTCAAGCCCATTCTTGAAAAGTGTAAGCGTATTGTTTCGCTTTTTAAAAGTAGCACAATTGCGTATGCCAAGTTTAAAGAGGCTCAGGAATGCGAACGTCCTTATAGTTTAAAGCAAGAATGTCCTACAAGATGGAACACCGGCTATTATATGTTGGATCAAAATTCTGATCACAAAGATTGCCATCGCAAGTGTGCTACTAAACACGCCCAAAGGGCTAATGCCGCCAACATCTGAAGAAATATCCATTCTGGAGGATTTAAAGGCAATACTTTCACCCTTTCAACATGCAACGGTACACACATCTTCGAGTACTTCTGTGACAGTGTCTTCAGTGAATCCGGTTGTTTGTGGTATTTTACACAATCTGACAGGCATGAAAACTAAACTCCAGACTAAGGTGGGCCAAGATGTCTGTGATGACATACATCAAGGGGTCAATAAAAGATAATAATTCCTCCCAAGGGATTAAATCGTTGGAGGATGAACCGTCGCTCATCAATGCTCCAACAAAATCTTCTGCATTTTCAAGCCCGCCAACACCAGAATCCACAGCAGAATCCAACCTATTATTCAGTTTTTTACAAACTAATCAAACTCAGAAAACTCAAAGCGGTCAAAGCCATATTGGCTTTGCGACAATACTTGAATCCGAGTAATTTGGACCCTGCCCAAAACCCTTTGGATTATTGGAAGGTACGAAAAATAACAATTTAATTGGTAACCAACTTAAAAATCCAATTTCTTCTTTCAAAAGATATCAAATGACGCCGGATTCAAAACTTGCGTTGTTAAATACTTCTGCGTACCGGCCACCTCTACTGAAAGTGAGAGGATGTTCAGTAAAGCTGGACTAGTCGTTAGCGAGAAGAGAAGCTCTCTAAAACCAAAGAATGTCAATATGATATTATTTCTAAACAAAAATGATTGGATAATTTAGTTTTAGTTATGTTACTTTTTACTTATTTTTTGAGAAGAACTTTATACTGTTAATTATTTTATTTTTAGTTGAATTGTGACTTATTTTTAATTTTTGAGTTGCACCAGTAGTTTAAGTTTTACTTTGAAATTGCATGAAACAAAAATAGAAAACAATGGATCTCAAGTAAAGCATGGTTTTTTATAATGAACTTACACATTGGACTTATTTGTGGTATTCGTTTATATATTATATGGAGTAAAAACATTTTTCAAAATTACACCCAAAAAAAAGTTCAATGTATCGATACATCGATGTTTTTTTTCTGAAAAACATCGAAACATCGATGTAGGTAAGCATCGATGATTTTCCAGCTCTACCCCGTTCCCAATCCGGCTCCCACTTCTTCAAGTTCCATCATGCCTATTGGGACTCGGAGCTGGACTACAGATGGCGTGGGTAAGATGGCGAAGAAGACGCGGGACGAGAAGGAAGCTTTAAACTACTAATTTACATGAATAAAAACATTCGTTGAACAATCCATTTATTTGTATTTTAATTTTCTTGTGCACCAGCAGACTCTTCTTTTTTAAATTGATCCCATTGATTTGTTAGTAAGACCCAAAAGTACTCAACATGACCACACCCAACAAATCAAGTAGTAGCCAAGTTGGGAACAGTACCAGGCGCTCAGTAGCACCCACTGCATATGAGAATTGCTGATCAGCTTATTATATGTCTCACTAACTCACCGTCTCACCGACTCAACGGCACACTGACCGGCCAATGCAGTCAGCACATTTGCAGTGTCTGCCAATCCAATTACGCAAACTGCTGCCATAATCAAAACTCCCTGACCTACCTACCTACTTTAGAATATAGCGCACTTCACTAATCATTACACTAAACTTTCGTCTTCCAAGTAGTATATAAACATGTACCAAATGAAGAATAAATCAGTTATCAAGACACCTCTTAACTCCGTGGTTCTACTTCTTACATCTGGGAATATGGCTCGTAGTACACTATCTCAACTAGCAGCTAACCACGTTAGCTAACCCTCAGCGCAGCTCCAGCATCGCCTGTGGTCCGGCATCGCAGTAACCTTCGTTACCATTGTCCTGCCAGCAAAGCGTCCCCGTGCCAGCGGTGTGACCCGGAAGTGTCTACTTCGGTTAGGCACAAACAACCATGCTACATGTATTAACTTTGAAAACTTCGGCCACACTACAAAGAATAAGATTTTTCGACTAGTGAAACTCTTAGCCGATCTGAGTACTAGGCTTTAAAGCGAAAACCTCCTCTGTGTGAACAGGGTATTACACAAGAGATTTTACATTTCTGAAACTTAGTAGTCAGATCGACTAAGAGTTTCACTAGTTGAAAAATCTTTTTCTTTGTAGTGTGACCGAAGTTCTCAAATTTCACACGCAATGCATGTAGCATGGTCTTACTGTCAAGCAGCTGGGTTTGTCGCCAAACGGAAAACAAATCAATTGGAGCAATTTAAAAATGTGGAGTCTGCTAGTGCACAACCAAATAAAAGGAAATGGAATGCTCAATGTATATTATTAATGTAAAATAGTAGTTTAAAGCTTCCTTCTCTTCCTTTCTTAGTGCAGCTCGGAGTCCCAATAGGCATAATGGACCTTGAGGGGCTGTTCCTCCTGTTGCTGCAGGAAGTCGCCTAGCATCATGGCAATGGCTCCTCCAGCTGTCCCTTAGGGGGCGCCCTTTTTTCCTTCTCCATATAGAAGCGAGCGCGTCCTCCAACTCCGCTGTAGCTGCAAAATAGCTGGTGGAGGTGGAGTCCTATGGTTCCCCAATGGAGAACTTGTTGGTGGTCGAACGTTCTGGTGGTTCTGCTAAAGAGATACTTCTATTAGTACAACGAAACCAAATTCTTTTGGCCAGAACTTACTTTCATTGAGAGAACACGCCCGGAAGGATGTCCATGTACGGAGCGAAGTCCCACTCGGCATGTCACTACCCACTGGAGTTCTCTAGTGGATCTCTTCCAGCACTTCAGCTACTCTGCGGATTTGCCCTGTTGTGGAATTGCTTCCTGTCGGTGAAGTTCCAAAATAATATACAAGTTAACTAATGTCAACCGGACTGAGAGTCAATATCCGAGGACTGAGCGCTAGCCAAACTGCTGACACTTCATTTGACCCCCACAATTCACTGCTCCTGCTCCGGGCCTCCCCACGCCCACGAGCTCACTGGCCGCGATTAGTAGGCCAGCCTTAGACTGCTGCGCGGGATCACGTCAGCACATATAGGGGAATACAAAAGTTAATTGTTAATACAAAGTCTTAATTGGTTTCGGAGGAAATGGGGATCATGTAAGTGAGCGTTCTATCCAACCATTCAAGAACATAAAATATTAAAAACCTGCGTTACAAGCTTTTTTTCAAACTAATGCGCTCTGAGAGTCACCTTCGGCAGCTCCATGTTAAAATTAAAAAAAAAAACAAATTAAGTTTTCATAAATAATTTAAATTAAAAAAATAAACCTAGTGGAGTTAAAAAATCCTCAAAGCTGGATTTAAAATTTGATTGGCATATCAGTTAATTTCACAGTTACTAACGCTTAAATAAAGAAACATTTATATGTCGTACCATTTATCTTTCGGCATATTACACACGACAATATTAAATAGCATTTCTATTTTATTGATATTTAATTTTCGTTAATTTCGATACAATTATTAGAATGCAGTGACGCAAATACTTTTCGCTGTGGTTTGCTTTTGGTTTGGTTTGGGCGGCTGTCGGACTATAGTCCGACACACTTAGACCTCAATGGGTCCGTTGTGATACCGCATGATCTCGTTTCTTCCTTCTCTAGGGTCCCGTTTCTAGTAGTTTCGGCTTGTGTTAAGCTGATCAGCATGTCTTCCACCCGGAAGATTTAATAAAGGCACTTATGCTTTTGAGATTAATCTCCGATATTTCGGTAAGATCGTCGATGAAGGGGCTTCCTAAGTGTTTCAGTCTGAGTCTGCATAGGGCTGGGCAGAAGCAGAGAAGGTGTTCTACCGTTTCCACTTCTTCCTCATCCCTACAGCTTCTGCAGAAATCATTTTGCGGGGCTTTTAGCCTGCCGGCATGCGCGCCAACAAGCCAGTGGCCTGTAAGAGCTCGGATCAACATGCCACACTCTGTGCGGCTGAGCTTGAGTAACTCCGAGGTTTTCTTGTTGTTTATCACAGGCCATGTCTGGTGAGAGTTGCGACACTGTGGTAAGTTTTGCCAATGGGTGTTGGCTAGTGTGTTGAAGTGGTTTTTTATGTTTAGCTTGCAAGTAGCCATGGGCATACCGACATTTTCCTCTCCTGGTAGGAGAGGCTTGGTGGTGCCCTGCCTGACTAATTCGTCCGCTATGCAGTTGCCTGCGATGTCCCGGTGACCCGGAACCCATATTAGGCTGATGGTAAACAGATTTGCCATCTCGTGGAGAGATCTGCGACAGTGTGCTATTGTACGAGAATTGGTGTTTGTCGAGTAGATCGACTTAATAGCCGCTTGGCTGTCACTATATATGTCTAGGTGTCCTCTCTGGAGGCTAAGGTTCCTTAAACAGGTTAGTGCTTCTTTAATAGCGTGGACCTCCGCCTGAAAGACGCTACAGTGGTTCGGGAGCCTGAATGACTTCCTGATATCTAATTGTTCGGAGTATACACCTCCGCCGACTTGTCCTTCTAATTTGGAGCCATCTGTATAGAAACAGATTGCGTCCGTCGTGTCCGGTCGGCCCTGTTCCCATTCCTCTCTATCAGGAATCAGGGCCTCAAAGGGTGTGTGACTATATTCAATAGATTTGCATAGATCCGTGATTTTTGGAATCGATTTATCATGCTGGAGAATTTTAGCATGGCCATATAATTGGGCTTTCCACTGCCCTGTGTCCCTCAGTCGAATAGCTGCCGATTTGGCCCTTTCCATGCCTGCTAAGTCCAGGCTAGGGAGGTTCAAGATCGCATTCAGCGCTTCATTCGGGGTGGTTCGAAGGGCTCCACTAATACACAAAGCCGCCATTCGCTGTACTTTGTTTAGAGGAGTCAGTATGCATTGTTTGTGTAAGGCGGTCCACCACAGAGCCACTCCGTACAGTAGGATTGCTTGACAACCGCTGTGTATATCCAGTTAACTGTTCTTGGGGACATGCCCCATCTTAGCCCGATTGCTTTTTTACAGGAGTAAAGTGCAATGGTCGCTTTTTTGGTTCTCTCTTGGTTGTTTAAGCCCCATTTGAGGCGCTTATCTAGTACTAACCCCAAGTACCTGGCGTGATCGCTAAAGGAGAGATTACAATTGTTTAAAATGGGTGGGTTAAGTTGAGGAATTTTGTACCTATTCGTAAATAGAACAAGTTCTGTTTTCGAGGGATTTACCCCGAGTCCGCTCGCTATCGTCCATTCCGATAGCATTTTAAGTTTAGCGGTCATAAGATCGCAAAGTGTTTGTGGATATTTTCCATTAAAGATGATGGCAACGTCGTCTGCGTATGCCACGACCTTACAACCTCCTCCCTCCAGAATCCGCAGTTTATTTACAGCGATATTCCACAAGAGGGGTTATAGTACACCTCCTTGCGGGGTGCCTCTGTTCACTAGTCTAGTCTGGGTTGAGGTCCCTAGTGTGGCTGTGACCATTCTGCTTATCAGCAATTTATGGATTAGCCTCACCATTGGCGGCTCAACCCCTAGTTCTGTGAGAGATTCTGTTATAGCGGTGGGAAGCACGTTATTGAAGGCTCCCTCTATATCCAGGAAGGCGATCAGTGTGTATTCCTTGATGTTGAGTGATTTCTCGATGCTGTTTACCACCAAGTGTAGCGCCGATTCGATTGACTTACCTTTGGTGTAAGCGTGTTGTGCTTCTGATATTTGTGTCGGGTCTACGGTGGCCCTTATGTGTAGGCTTATCATTCTTTCAAAGCTCTTAAGCAGGAATGATGTTAGGCTTATTGGCCTAAAATCCTTTGCTGTGGTGTGAGTGGCCTTCCCTGCCTTGGGAATGAAAACCACCTTTGTTTCTTGCCATGCTGTTGGTAGTTCTCCTACCGCCAGGATGGATTGGAAGATTTTTTTCAACCAGTTTATGGCTATTTGTCCTGCTTGCTAGATGTGAGCCGGTGTTATCCCGTCCGGTCCCGGCGATTTGTATGGTTTGAAACTATGAATGGACCATTTCATGTTGCGGTCTGATAGGAGTGGATCTATTTCGATTCCCTCTCCTGTTCCTCTTTCAGGTGGATGACCTGCTTGTTGGCTCCCAGGGAAGTGAGCGTCTAGGAGCAGGTCCAAGGACTCTTTACTGGAGTCTGACCATGATCCATCTGCTTTTTGAAGATAGCCCAAAGGCGCGGCTGTCTTAGAGAGTATTTTCCTGAGCCTTGCGGCATCAGTTGTTTTTTCTATGTCAGAGCAGAAGGTCTGCCATGCCATTCGTTTTGCTCTTCTAATGGCCTTTTTGTAAGAGGCTAGTTCAAACTTGTAGTTCAGCCAATTGGTGTCCTCATTTCCCTTCTTTGCTCTGTTAAACAGGCATCTGCAGTTGGTTCTGAGGATAGATAGTTGTTGGGTCCACCAGGGGGGTTTTTTCCTTCCTCTTGGTTTCTCTGTGGTGCATGCCACTTTGAAGGCAGTGTTGCATGCCTCTGTGAATTTGTATACTGTTTCGTCCAGCTCATGTGGGTTTGTGATGCTTTCTGACGGTTCCATGGGGAGGATATTTGTCAGAACTTCTTTGTACCTGTGCCAGTCTGCTCGTCTGGGGTTGGCGAAGCTGACCGGCAAGGGCAAATCAAGGGACAATACGGTTTCTATGAATCTATGGTCCGAGAAGGAGTACTCGTCAGAGACTGCCCAGTTTTTGACTGCGCCTACGAGTGAATCTGATACCAAAGTTAGATCTATGATCGTTTGACAAGCTTTAGTTATGAAAGTAGGTGCATTGCCCCTGTTGCATAAGAATAGGTTCGAATTTAGAATAAAATCAAAAAGAGACTCACCTCTGTCGTTGTTGTTTGGGCAACCCCACTGGGTGTGATGGGCGTTGGCGTCACAGCCTATTACCAATCCGTACTTGGATTTGCTTTTCGCATTCCTCTGCTAGACCTCTGACCAGCGCGTCTGGGGGGTTTTCCTTCTCAAAGGCCAAATAGGCCGATAGAACCCTTATAGAGCCACTCTGCAGCTCCAGGCTTACTGCGGTTCGAATTTTACCTTCTTTGGGGTCAAGCATAAGCTTGTATTCCTTTGTTCCTAGTCCAGCAACCTTGCCTCCTACCACCCAAGGTTCCTGTACGAGGACTAGGTCGGCTCCGCCTTCTGTCAGGCGAAGCAGAAGTGCAGCAGACGCTGCTTTACTGTGGTGAAGGTTTATTTGTAGAAGTCTTAGTGACATCTACAGCTTCAACCTCCACCACAGTGACGTCGGCCTCCTCTGTGTCGCTGAGGTCCACGTCCTCGATTGCCGGTCCGAGCGCACGCATCTCTCTGCTCAGCGACGAATCGGTAGAGTAGCCGTCCTCCGGCCCACCGGTGCCTCCAACTCCTCAGCAAGCACCTGCTCGGCTGGGTTGCCGGCAGAGCTGCTAGCGGCGTTGGAGTCGCCCTTATACACTTTGATGTGTATCGCACTGAACCCGAAGTTCAGCACTCCACGAGCAGTCTCGATCGGAGCTACTGACTCCTTGTTCAGGACCAAAACCGCCTGGTTGACGTCCCCTTCATGCTCCTCCACCTTGACGACTTTCCAGTCCTTCGTGGGGAGGTGCGGGTTGCATTGTTGCAACATGAAGAGGATGTCCTCCGGCGTCTTGATCGCTGCTGGAATCCAGATCCTGGCTCGGGGTCTACTGGGGACATCGCACCAGTCAAGCGCAACGATGTTCGCCCCTTCGTAAACCTCGCCGAGCTTGCTTGTCGCCTCTTTGTACATATCAGCCGACCGCTGACTGTCGCATGCTACCACCTTGACGCTGCCCTGGTACCAGCCCGCGTCCATGCAACAGGGCGAGGTGCCTGGCTTCTCTCGTACCATGCGCAGGCAAATGAGGGAAAGGTGGGACTCCACTGCCTTCCACTTGTTTCTGGGGATCCTGCTCTCCGGATTTCCCCTTTCAATCAGGCCGAGTAGTACACGATTCTGCGTGATTTCGGCGAAAGAGACCGATGGCTGGATCTTTGATCTCTTCGCCGATGGCCCGGGTAGTTCGAGGGATCGCTGCCTTTTCGCCTGAGTCGCCTCTTGAGTGGGCTTTTCCTGCCCGTAGTTTGGGAGCACCTTCCTTGCCCACTGTACCTTCTTTAGCCATTCAGGCGAAGGCGTGGCAACGGTGCTCCTGGTGTGTGAGCGCAGAGTCTGGGCGGCAGTCCGCCTTTCTGCGTATGTATATTTTGCACCAGCGGGTGGCCCGAGCGCCTTGGCAGTGCCTACCGTTGCTTTCGGCGCAGATGCGCACGTCGCGGAGGCGTTTACGGTTGGCTTTCTGCCACCCATCATCCCCAGTTTGGGATGCGGCCCTTTCTGGGCCGTGTTGGTATGGAAGGTGGAACCAGTGTTCGTCTTATCCATGGGTTTTTTAAGAGTACCCGTCTCTATGTTTTTTGTCATTTTTTCTTCTGTTTTTCGATCCATAATTAGGTCCCACGAGTTGCGGAGAAGGGGAAAAGTCCGCCCGGGCAGAGATCCGCGATGCCCGGGTAAGGCGATAGTTAGGGGGGTCGCCATGTCCCTGAGCACACCGTTTGAGACTGGGCTATTTTTGATCCGGGCCCCCAGCCAGGCTGACTCTTGGCACGGTCCGTATTACACCGTAGTCCGGCCCGGAGTGAGATGTTGTTTGGATGGGGGGGTTGGGTAGGTGTTGTGTTGGGAGTGGGTTTGTGTAAAGCAACTATTTAGATGCGGCTGAACAACTCGCATCGTCGGTATTGCTTCGTTGCAAAATACCCGCTGGCTGTCCGGGACTGTTTATTTACTGGGGTTTCAGTCCACGGTACCGTGTTTGACTTATCCCACCAGCTTATTCACAGTTGACCTCGAAAGAGGTCGTCCGCTATCCGCAACCTGCGACCCGCTCGGTTGCCCCAGCTAGGCGACTTTGGAACCATCTCACAAGTTCCTCAGCCGAGACTTTTCGCTGTGTATTCAATATAATTTTCATGGAGCGGCGCATACATTCTATCACGCTGCATTCCTGTTGTCGTTTTTGTTGCCCCGAGGAAATATGAACCCCGCAGTCAGGCGAACTTGTCTTTGTTCTTAATAGCGCACACGGGATTCTGTGCAGTTAAGTTCAGCTGCCCATGAGTTCTCCGTTCAGCCAATATAGAAATAATAAACAACACTCGAGCGACTAGAGTCCGAGAGTGAAGAGAGGGTCCGTCCGACATTTAATCCAATACGCAGGCCCTCAGCCCCCCCTTGACCAGGCAAATAGCGGCAGTAAATGTTAGTGTCAACTTGAAGGCAACCTTCTTCATCTTACCAGACCTCACCTCCATTGAAGCGATCATCGGCCGGGACTTATTAAAGCAGGCAGGCGTATCGCTTTGCCTAGCCTCCGATCAGCTCAAACGGGGCACCGAGGTAGAGCCAATTGACTTTCATAATTGTCCCGATGTCAATTTCACTAACGTAGATTGCTCGGACGCACCGCCCTCGGTAAAATGCGTTTTTTTATTAATGCTAGACAAAAGAAAAAAGCCTTGGCAGATCCGAACGAGGCTCTTCCTTATAATACTTCTGTGGTCGCCACAATTAGGACGGTTAGCGAAGAACCCATTTATGCTAAGTTATACCCATACTCTAAGGGGGTAGCTGACTTCGTCAACTTCGAAATTCAGGAACTGCTTAAGAACGGCATAGTCCAAAAGTCGAAGTCCCCCTACAAAAACCCAATATGGGTCGTAGATAAAAAGGGCACTGACGAATCGGGCAAGAGAAAGATGCGTCTGGTACTGGACTTTCGCAAGCTAAACGAAAGAACGGTACCCGACAGGTTCCCCGTGCCAAATATCTCAATGATATTGGGGAACCTTGGCAAAGCCAAATACTTCACTACGCTCGACCTCAAGTCACCATCAAATTACGCTCGCTAAATGCGACCGTGAGATAACGTGGTTCTCGGTAAACGGAGGAAAGTATGAGTTCCGAAGACTTCCATTCAGGCTCAGAAATGCGGCGAGCATTTTCCAAAGAACAATTGACGACATCCTGCGAGAGCAGATCGGCAAGTTCTGCTACGTCTATGTAGATGATGTAATCAACTTTTCTGAAGATGAGAACGACCATGTGAAGCACGTGGATTGGGTTCTAAAGAGCCTATATGATGCAAACATGAGGATATCGGCGCAGAAATCCAGTTTCTTTAAGAAAAGCGTCAGCTTCCTAGGGTTCATCGTCACCAATAACGGTGCAGCGACAGACCCAGAAAAGGTCAAGGCCATTAGAGAATTTCTAGAACCCAAAAATGTGTTTGAGGTAGGTCATTTCTAGGTCTGGTGCTTCATCAAAGACTTTGCATCAATAGCGAGACCCATTTCAAACATTGATAAACTGCGTAACATTTAAAGACATTTCGGACATTGTCGTTCCTAAAAGTTGTAAACGCCATCCATTGCGACCTACACACATTTCTATTGCGCCAATGAACCATAATTGAAATCGCACACAATATCAACAATGCGCAACAACAATTTTGGCTTTAGCATTGCAAATGCTCCGCCCCTTCATAGTGTTTCAAATGGGCAGGTAGAGAGGTTCCACAGACAAAGACAACCTTAGATAGGAAACAATATTTCTTCTTAACAAGCCACGCGTTTCCGACCCCATAAAGTATATATATACTTTATTATAATATATATATAAAGTATATATATTCAGAATCACTAGCCGAGTTGATCTGCCATGTCCGTCTGTCCGTCCGGATGAACGCTAAGATCTCGGAAACTATAAGAGCTGGGCTATTGAGCTTGGCGTGCAAATTCCTAAGCTTCTTACGCAGCGCAAGTTTGTTTCAGTAGAGTGCCACGCCCACCCTAACGCCCACAAACCGCCCAAAACTGTGGCTCCTACAGTTTTGATGCTAGAATAAAAATGTTAACTGAATTGTATTGTTCTCATCAATACCTATCGATTGACCCAAAAAAAAGTTTGCCACGCCCACTCTAACGCCCACAAACCGCCCAAGCCTGTGACGCCCACAGTTTTTATGCTAGATAAAAAATTTTAACCGAAATGTATTGGTCTTGTCAGTACCTATCGATTGATCTTGCCACGCCCACTCTAACGCCCATAACGCTTAAATCTATCTACCGCCGGTAGGTGGCGTATTTTAATCTCGCTTTGCTGCTTGCATGTATCCATTTGCCTTTGGTCCCTTTAGCTGAGTAACGGGTATCTGATAGTCGAGGTACTCGACTATAGCGTTCTTCCTTGTTTTTTATTCATTTTTTCTGCACTTGGCGCCAGTTCTTAATAGACATAAGTTACATTGCCATTGTAAGTCATCTTCTTTTGGTGGTGGCATACCTCTCATTGAACAAAAAATAGCTCAAACTCAATTCCACAGGTTCAAATTCATTTGCCTTTTCTCCTCTCTGGGCATGGCGCGTGCGTATTACTGCGTTTATGCGATGACCATTTCACGCTTTCATTTCATGAAATGGGCTGATTCGTGTGTGCATAAACACCGTTTCATGAATTCGACAACACACGAAAGTTGACTATGATTTCAACCTTTCGATTTAGCGTCGCTTGTGACCGGTTGTGTTTATCTTGTGCTCTGTGATTTTTGTCAATTTGTCATAAATATCTGTGATACTGGTGCCTTGCTTTGTGACTTGGTCCAACATAAGAGCCGTGCTGGTGTTTTAAATCGTCTGTGTATGTTTAATTGTCTATTTTATTGTAGAATTTTTAACATTTTGTTATTGTAACTTCTGTACGCTGTGGTGCATTTGGTTTCAATAGCTTTTGTTGTTGTTTCCCATAACTTGGTTGTAATCTCTCTCCCGTTTCTTGTCGTCTAAACTGTTGTCGTGTATATTTT